TTGTAATATAAAACCAGTTCATTTGTTAAGCACATTTCTATGTGCCAGGCATTATTCTAAGCACTATACGTTTACTAATTCATTTGATCCTTTCAGCAATCCTGGAGAATAGGTATTATTCTCATAAGTGAGATACAGAGAGGTTAAGGAAGTTGCCCAAGGGCCCACAACCTGATATATGACAGAGCCAGAATTTAATCCCAGGTAACCTACGCCAGTGACCATGTACTTAACCACTAGGCTATATCACCAAAAAAAATTACATGATGCTATAATCTGTCATTGATAAAAATTCAAAAGGTAATTATAGGGCATAAAGGGGTGGACCCAGTGAAAGAAAAGGCAAGGAAGAGAAAGGGAATTGAATATAGAGAACAATGGAAAATCCTAATCATAAGGGTCAAAACAGAGGAGCCCAGCTGAAGCCAAGTTTCCTGAAGGAGGAAAATCCCCAAAGTAAGAAATGTCAGGCTAGCAGTGATGTAGCCAGAAGAATTACCCAAGGCTGAGGTCAAAAATGTTGGCATGCCAATCCTCCAGAAATGCCTGGCTCCCTGTACTATGGGAACAGGATTGGCTATCTGAGGGGCTGTACCTTGTTTGCTCGAGTGATGATACCCTCGAACCTTGTCCTTCCTTGTCTCGGAGGAGTAACAGAAACTGGATTTCCTCAGGGTCTGGGGCCTGGGATGTGGTTTGAGGTTCCGTGGCTCATGAATCCAAGCATGCTTGAGGGCCTGGTCAGGGGTCATTCGAAGAGAAGGTTCCCATCTGCACACCAACGAGAAGCCCAGCACCAGTTACTGTTTTATTTCCTTTCTAAGTATTAAAACACTTAAATGTTTTTATTTAAGCTATCTGTCAAAGATATCATCCTGGGACAGAGATTATGACATCTAATTTAAAAGTACCTGGAAACAACTACTGGAAATAATCTTTTTAGAAAATTTGTATAATAAGCCAAGGGAATATATTAGAATCCAAGTCTTCCAGAATTTCTAGAAATTCCCTTATAAGAAATGTTATAAAAAATCTTAACCAATGGGATTTAGGATTTGGTAAGTTAAGAAGGTTAAAACAAAGAGACAGTTAATTTCAATTTCCAAACTACAGAATTTGGGCCTCCAAATTTATCACAAAGAAAATTACAGAATTTTTGAATATTGAGCTTTACAAGGGGACTTGGATATAATCCAGAAAAACTTCAAATGTATAACAATACATTTGACAGAACTTCCAACATGGAATCACCCTGCCACTCTCGAGTAATTTTGGTGACAAGGGACTAACTCACAGAACCACCTATTCCAATTTTGAAAAACTCCAATTCTTTAAAAGTTCTTCATTTTTAATGAGCTAAAATTGGTTTGCCTCCCAGTAACTTTTACCCAGGTCCTAATTCTACTCATTAGCATCATACAAAATAAAATAACTCGTCCTTCTTTTATGTTACAGTCCTTCAACCACCTGAAAACATGTACATCACTACCGACTTGGTCACATGATATGGTTTTCACCATCTGACCACTTTCCATGATAGGAAATTTCAGCTGTTGTCTAACTGATGTCCATGATGCTTAGAATAGTTTCTAACTGCAGGGAGACAGTATTAATATTCTAGACTCATCAAGGTTATAAAAAACTCTAGCTCCTACAAAGCTTAGACACAGGGATTTACATTTACACCTATTGAATTTGGCTCAAAACTTTTAGTCTCTTATTTTAAAGATTTGCTGTTAGCAACGTATGGATATGGTAACAGTCCCCATCCGCTGTTAACCTGCCTCTTGCAAAATTATGAGCAATGAATCCTTTATGCTGAAGAAGAAAATACTGTCTTCCTTGGTGCTGAGCTGTGTTCTAGATGGGTGTGGTTTCTGGTTAATGCACCTCTGTCTCAAGGGTCAGTTTCTGTCATTTGGTGAGGCACATTCATTCTATAGCCTCAGTAAGAGGCCAGGGTTGGGTAGGGGTAAAGATGAGGTACAGAATCCTCCCCTACCTCAATTACTCAGATCAATAAATAATATGCCCCCCCAAGATGGGAATCCTTTCAGCAATACCTGATGGTTCCCCCTCTGAGCTAGTATCTAAATCCTGGACTGCACAGATGCCAGAAGAGTATTTGCTAAGACTGTTCCAGCCCACTGGAAGAATGAGAGAATATAAAGATATGTTCTTCTAAAAATACTAAGCAATTATAGGACTGGCAGAGCTGGAAGGGACCTTAGAAATACCTGAGGCCCAGAGAGAAACGATGACTTGCTAAATA